CAAATCCCAAATTCTTATCTAATTACTCATCAATTCAATCACCATGGCTCGTACCAAGCAAACAGCTCGCAAATCCACCGGAGGCAAAGCGCCAAGGAAACAGCTAGCCACCAAAGCTGCTCGCAAATCAGCTCCGGCAACCGGAGGTGTCAAGAAGCCACACAGATTCAGGCCAGGAACCGTTGCCCTGAGAGAAATCAGGAAGTACCAGAAGAGCACTGAGCTTCTGATAAGGAAGCTTCCGTTCCAGAGGCTTGTCAGGGAAATCGCTCAGGATTTCAAAACAGATCTCCGATTCCAAAGCAGCGCTGTCTCTGCTCTCCAAGAAGCGGCTGAAGCTTACCTTGTTGGTTTGTTTGAAGACACTAACCTCTGCGCCATTCATGCTAAGAGAGTTACCATTATGCCCAAGGATATTCAACTTGCTCGCAGAATCAGAGGCGAGAGGGCTTAGATTTGATTTTGTGTTGTTGGTGTTTCTTAGTTAGGGTTAAGTTCTTGATTTTGATGTTATTCTGTACCAATGCTCATATCTGCAATTTATAATTAGTTCAGTTGTGCACATCTGTGATTTGTTATCTTGCTTTGTTTTGGTTATCAACCATATGAATGAAATGTCTCATTTCTAAGATTTTTGCTTATTTCTTATTCTTTAATACTCCTAATAGAAGCTGCTCTACACATATTGATACCAACCGTATGAATTTGAATTACTTTCTCTCCTAATTTTGACCTTTTCCAAGACTGGGCCAACTTTGACGAGGATTGATAATGTTGCAGAGTTGAATAAAGTAAAAAAGATTTTCATTATTGAAGAATTGGATAAATGAATTACCTGCTCTCATATGTTCCTTCAAGTTGAACTATTGAACGAACATAGACCCAACCTAGATACAATAGCAAAAAAGTAAAGTGGCTTAGTAAAGACATGCTAATTGGGATGTATCGAACACAATTCTTAAGTGGATTAGTTTAGATGGTAGATTCTTAGACTACATGACACTCTAATTCAATGTGTTTACATTGTTCATGAAAGGTAAGACTGTAAGTTAGATACATAGCAAATGTTTTATCACATCATTAAAATCCTTGAACAAATATTGCAATTATTGGAGCTCACAAGTCAAAGAAACCACTAATTTTTGCTCTGGAAGATTGAGACACAGTTTTGTTTCTTAGATTTCTAGAAAAAAAAAGATGAACTTAGGAACACATAAAAGCTTGTTATGTATTTTATTGTTTCATGACACCTTATCCAAAGTATATGTTCCCATCTAGAAGACCATATTTAAGATATTTTAGGAATTTTTGTGACAGTTGTATAGTGACAAATAATAAGATTGGAAACAAACTTACAAAGGTGTTGAATTGAGAGACATATGTCAATGTTTGACATGAACTAAATAACAAAGTCTTAAAATAAGTTTTCTACAAGAAGATGAATGTCAAATGTGACCCTTTAGTACTATACAACTTTCTAGTAGGATTGAAAAAGATATAAGTAATTGACACATGCCGCTTGTACTTTTCTGATCTCATGTACAACTAAAAAAAAATCAAAATTAGAGTACCTAATTAAGACACAATTCATTCGATTAAGGTATCATTAACCTATTTGTAGTGTGACATGTCTAACGAATTGTTTGTCAATTTTAAATAGGATGGAGCAGACAAAGTTGAGGGTGTGACCCTAAAATATTGATCCATCTCTTAAAAAAAATGAAAGCAGGACATGGCGGGCTCTCGGGCATAACGCCTTTTAAGCTTAAAATTGTTTTTTTAAGATAAATACTTGTGTATGCAAAAGTCGGAAAAATTAGGGCAAGACAAACACATTTGAGGGTAAGGGCCTAAAACCTTAGCCCATCCTTATAAAAAAGTGCGGGAATAACATGAATTGCCCGACAACATGAGCCTATTTTCCACCCCAAATGAGATGCAATTCCTTGCGGTTTGCTTGCAAACGAGCACAAAGGCACATGCCAAACATGACATCAGGACGAGATGCAATAAGGTAAAGAAAATAACCGATCATGTCTTGATACTTGCTTTCTTCAACTGACTTTCCTTTCTTGTTTTTATCCAAGATACATGGAATACTCATTGGAGTTGAGAATGAATTAGCTTTATTGATGCCTGGTCTTTTTAGTAGCTCTTTAAAGTACATGTTTTGATTGAATGTGTCTTCTTTAGATATATGGATGTGTAAGCCTAGGAAATATCAAAGCTTCCGTATCATGGATATCTCAAATTCATTTTGCATCATCTCAGAAAAGTACTTACACAATGTGTTGTACCCCAAAATTTGCCCTCTCATTTCTCAAAATATCACCCTGGACCCTCAGATTTACTTCCATCCAATTCCAAGCCTTGCATCACAAGTTTCCCAAGAAAGTCATTCACAAGGGAAAAATGGTCATTTACATACTGAAAAGTCAAACTTTGACTTTTGGATCAAAGACAAGTTTCAAGAGTTATATTTCATCAAGACATGTTGAAATATGGAGTTTGTTTCATCAAGAAAATTCAAAAGTCAAAATTACTTTGGAAAAGTCAAAACTCTAAACACTTAGAATTTTTCTAAGTGTTTAAGAAATATGACAAGCTCAGAACTTCTGGCCAAATCATCACCATGATGCCAACTGATTCTAGAAGAACTTCTAACGCAAGAGTTGTAGATCTCAATGAGATCTCAAACATTGCAGAACAAAACTTCTCCTAGAAATGTTGGAATTTCAAGCTACAAATCCTTGAAGACACGCCCATGAAACTGAAGCTTTCAGTAAATTCTGGACCTTTCCAAAACAGAATTTGATTAGAACTTCTGTGTCGGCTTTCATATAGGTCCAGTCAGAATTTGCAAGGGCAATTCAAAGAGAATTTACGAAACGTGTTACAAACTTTTGGGAAAGTCTGAGAACTCCTACAGAACATGCTAAAGCAAAGAGATTCCAAGATCAGAAGTTGGATGTTCGTTCTAAGTTGTGCTGATGATGAACTTCTGACCCATAATTAAGCTATGATGCATAATCTCACATTGCAGGATTTCTGGTTTGATAAATCTCATCATCATTTAATGCTTACAACAAAAATATTTTATACACCAACACCTCCTTGAAAACATTTTCAAAGGATCAACACTTTGTATACATTCTTACGAATGAGAATCATTACAAAGTTTGCCTAAACGATGACGTCTTTTCAAAATACTTTCAAAAACCACACAAAGAACATTCAAATAAAAATAAGTGATCTAGCAAGCAACTAAGAGCCCGTAGATAACTACAGATGAAAAGGGTGCTAATACCTTCCCTTTTCATAATCTACCCCCCGAACTCAAGAAAATATCTCAAAGGTATTTCCTGTTCTTTTCAACCTTTCCTTTTGGATAAAAGAAAAGTCGGTGGCGACTCTTGCTAACCGCAACATTTGCGATCAAACGCAAAACAACCAAGTCAGTTCTCCCACTGCGTTACACAATGATTCGTTAGTAGAACTGAAAATGATGTCATCAACATTAATTTGAACTAGTAAAATGTCATGCTCTAATTTTTTGATTAAAAAGTTTTACAAACATTTCATCTTTGCATTTTTTTCAAGGATAAACGTGCTCAAACGATCATACCAAGCTCTAGGAGTCTCATTCAAACCTCATATAGTCTTTTTCAATTTGAAAACATGATTAGGAAGAATGAGATTTATGAATTTGAGAGATTGATCAACATACATTTTCTCCTGGATGTAGTAGCCATTCAAGAACACACTATTTACATCCTTTTTAGAATATCTTAAAATTCACGATGCATGAAAAATCTAGAAACATCCTTAAAATGGGATTTATTGATGTCATCAATTTGTTCCTATGAGTCAATTTTCTCATTAAACTTCATTAATGATGGCGGTTTGATATTTTCTAGTACTAGAGTGTACCAAATATCATCCAAGAGAGGATGTGGGGGTTCCAAGACCTCGTATTCGACTTAGATGTCTTCATGACATCACTCTTGAAAGGTCATGGCGTTCTCTTGCAAAGTTTGGTTTGAACAATATAATTTTTTATAACAACATGATTTTATGTTAAGACACCCTTGTCGTCGTTATTAGTGTTGCTAGTTGTTGCGATGCCTTGTTGTGTCACCAAGTTCAGGAAGACGTCTGAGGAGAATGAAAGTTGAATTTAAGTGTGGCATATGTTAGTTTTACTGAGGTTCTGCAGTGAGCTCCAATTGTACTTGTGAAAATACAATAAGGGGATACCCTATGTACGAAGTTGATTGCCAAAGAATTTAAGTGTGCTAAATATGCAATCCTCAGGATTAATATATTTATAGGTCAAACTTACGAAGTAAGCTGATGGATAGGAACCATGTCTATTCCAATTGTTTGACTAAAGCATAAAGATATGGAGATTGATTTTCACCATTAATCGAAACTAGAAAACCCACTATCCACGTTAACACATAGAAACAATTTCTTTCTCGTGAGAGTGACAAAAATTGATCATTCCAAAAATATGTGATTCACAGACGTAAACATTCAATTATCTCTGAATTGATACATAAACGGGTCAGACGACTTTCCTCATAAACACAATGAATTCAAATAGACGACCCATAAACTTTTAGATCACACTCACTCAAAAGTCTAATGTCCCCTTGTATTGCTTATTGGACCAATTGATTTATGTGTCATACTCTTCTAGGGCCTAATAAAAGTTTTTCTAAATCAAAATTGAATTATTAAAAATATTAAAAATTAAATAAAATAAAGTGTTTTAAAGATACTATCATTAAATAACTATATATTGTTTATACTTAGTTATATTTAATTTATTTAAGTAGTTATTTTTACATAAAAATAGTACTATCTAAGTAAAGTTTAAGGACATTTTTGTTTTATATAGAAGAAGATATTGGACATACGTTTTTTAAATAATTAAAGCAATTGAGTCGCCTCTTTGTTTTTCTTAAAAGAGAAAAGCAAAAGAAAAAGCCAAGTACATGTTATCCGCGTGCCTTACCTTCCAGAGGCGAACAACCGTTGATAAACCCTCCCATCTACGGTCACTAATACTATCTTCCCTCTTCATCATTCCAAATTCCAATTCTAAAATTTTCGCAATTCCCGCATTTTCCCCTTTCCCTTCCACAACTCCACCCCTTATATATCAACACAAATCAACATTTCTTACATCATAATCTTATCAACAAATCCTCAATTTCACACTAATATCAATTCAATTCAATCAAAATGGCTCGTACCAAGCAAACAGCTCGGAAATCCACCGGAGGCAAAGCACCAAGGAAACAGCTAGCCACCAAAGCTGCTCGCAAATCAGCTCCGGCAACCGGAGGAGTCAAGAAGCCACACAGATTCAGGCCAGGAACCGTTGCCCTGAGAGAAATCAGGAAGTACCAGAAGAGCACCGAGCTTCTGATAAGGAAGCTTCCGTTCCAGAGGCTTGTGAGGGAAATCGCTCAGGATTTCAAAACAGATCTCCGATTCCAAAGCAGCGCTGTCTCTGCTCTCCAAGAAGCTGCTGAAGCATACCTTGTTGGTTTGTTTGAAGACACTAACCTCTGCGCTATTCATGCCAAGAGAGTTACCATCATGCCCAAGGATATTCAACTTGCACGCAGAATCAGAGGCGAGAGGGCTTAGATTTGGTTCCAATATTTCAAGTTCTGTAGGTGTTTGTTTATGTTTCTTGGTTAGGGTTTCATTTATGATTTTGTTGTTGTTTTTTATTATCCTGTTTGGAAGGTTAACTTGTTGTTATCCTAGTACAATGCTTCAAACTACAATTTACTGCTTATTTCTATCTCACTGTTCTTTGGTTAATTATCCTAATGAATTGGATATCACTTTCTTAGTAACAATAAATACACAATTTCATCTAAAATTTATAGATACAAACAACTAGGATATTAAGAGTCCGACACTCTTCAAGAAATAATAAGGTCCAATAGATGACAATACTAGAATCTAGAAACTCATAAGGACTGCATTCAAAGAAATGCTACATTCACACTGTCATATTATTGTTGTTGCTAGATAGAGATTCTATTATTGTTGTCGTAAGTTAGAGATCTCATGGCTTATATTTTAAATATAATATTTTATATTAATTGAAAAGTGAAATATACATTAAATCTAAATCGTTTGATCTCAATCTATTATCAATATGGTGACGGTGTGACTTTGGGATTTTGTGGACTGGGCGATCCAATTTGGAATCATAACCGGAACCATTGAAACTATTTCTTCCAAAATTTAACAAACTAGGGTAATGAAAGAAATATAATCTCCTCATACATAAGACAGGGTCGCTTGTCTACTTGTTGAAAGTAGAAGGAGGTCTAGAGGACTTTCCAATTACCACTTTCAAGAGCTTAACTTAATGTGTGTTTGAATGGGTGGTGGTTAAGTGAACATAATAAATTTTGAAATAGTTGAGTTTGATAAAATTAATTTTAATATAATTGTGTTTAATATAATTAATTTATGTTTGAATATTATTATGTAAAAATGAATTAAATAATAATTTTGAATAAAAAACCATCTATAAATTTAGAAGATACAAATTTTAGTTTTAAGGAGAATTAATTTTAGAAGGAATCAATTCTATTTTAGAAAAACTAAACATCTCAAAATCAATTTAGAATCAATTTTACACCTCTAAAATTACTTTTGCCTTTTTTCATAAGTCAAACCAAACATACTATTAATTTGATTTATTAATTGTTTTGAATTAATTAATTTTTCATTGAAAATAACATGTCGGACGATCGAATAAAAGAATGCCAAACTAATGTTAGGTGCCTCTTTAGGTGGAGGTCACCTAATTATGTGTCGGCAATAAACAAATCATAGAGATAAAAGAAACAAAATAACAACACAAGATTTTAACGTGGAAATTTCAAAACTTGAGAAAAACTACGACCGTTGTCAAATGACAACCAGAGAACAATACTATATGAAAATTGCTACAACATATGAATTACTCTCAACCACCCCAAAACTCCAATACAACCACACTCTCTAAAATAAATATTTAACCACCCCTCACAATACTCTAAAACAAAAATATAAGAGAAAATATAAAAAGTCAAATACAAGTTTAAAGTGCTTTTGACTGGTACAACTTCTAACGAAGAACTTCAATCCTATATATAACATTGAACTTTCTCTTCCTTCACAAAAGTAAGCGATGTGAGACTTTGAAAAACTTTAATCTTATATATAGTCTTAGACTACTTCTTCACTCACAAAACAAGTGACGTGAGACTTCTTCAACATGTATATTTTCAACCAACTCAAACAATCTCCAGCTTGATTGAAAATAATACATAAGCTTTCATTGTCTTCACAAAAAATCATACTCCACCATAAAGAGTATAATCACTTGAAGCTACACCACTCTAAGAATTTTTACATTGTCTTCATCGACAATCATAATTTTAAAAACTATCATACTCCATCTAAAGAAGAGTATACTTCACTTGAAGTTAAACCACTTCAAGAATTTTCACATGCTGAAAACCAAGTTGAAACTTTATGGCACAATTTTCATGTTGGTAGAAAGCACTTCAACCATCAACATAATCTCACAACACACTTTACATCAATGTCCATGTGTTAATCCGCTAGCAACAACTCGTCCTTTTCCATGACAGCGACGTCACGAGGACACACTTCTCAATTTTTAGAAAAGATCATCCTCTCTCACAGCGCGAGAGACATTGGTAGCATTTGACTAAGAGTTCTTCTCTGACACTGCCCCATCAAGACACTTATACCTTATATGTCTAATATTTCCATATTTCCAACATCTCACACCAGTTTCATTATTTTTCTTCACATAAAGCCTTCCTATAGCAACCAATGCTGAGTTTAATGAAGTATTAACCTCACCCTTCAATCTTTTCTCTTAAGAAATAATTTTACTAGCAACCTTTTCAAAATTCAAAGTTTCCTTCTCATATATCAAAATATGTTTAATATGCTCATAGGAAGATGGAAGAAACCATATGAGTCTCAAAGCTTTATCTCCATCTTCAATCTTGACTCAAATAGTTTCTAATTCATAAACAATAACATTGAGAACACTTAGATGATAAAATACTTTTGTATGTTCATCCATACACAGGCTATGAAACTGTTTCTTCAACAACAATCGATTTAATACACCATTTCCTTGATATAACCCTTTCAAATCTCTTTGGATGACGACGTACCAAGAACATTCACAAGAATATTCTTAGCCAAAGACATGCAAATTGTACTTGAAGCTCTCCAATCTAGTTTCTCCCACTTCTCGTTGTCCATGTTGGAAATGTTTCTTTACAATTCCTTATATAATACTAATTGTATCAAAACATCTTTGACTTGAATTTTCCACAAGCCAAAATTGATTCATCCATCAAATTTATTCAAGTATCTCTACTGCACTTGAAAAATTTGACATTACAACCAAAACCTTTCCTGTAACAAAACACATTTTTTTTGACAGCCCTATAGCGAGGAAGGCCCAGGGGGAATGTCCTTGGTGCAAGGGTGACATTTCTACCCGACATAGTCAATGGTAGCGTCATTCTTGCTGGCCTCCTCTTGCAACATGGTTGGATTAGACCTTGTATGTTGTTTGGGCCAAGCGCAAACCCAGTCCAGAACAAGAGCCCCCCAAGTCGTTGGTCCTAAGGGGAAGAGCTATGACTTAAGACTATCTCGCCGGTCCGCCGGGGATAGCTTTGTTGGGGAACTTTATTCCTTCTAGAGATAAAGTTATCCATGTATGGTAGTTGTTCGGATAGAAGTCGGAATATGTTGGCGGGGATAATCGACACATTCCTCGACTCGCGGGGAGCCAAACCTTTACAGGAGAATCACGTAGTGGGCCCTGTAGTGTAGCTTATAGGGTAGAACGATGATTTATGGAGTAGGGGTCATTGTGGCTCTAGACGCGTGGATGACAGAGAATTGATTAACTGACACGTTGCTAGATGCGACACTTCCTCTTCTACGTAACTTTTATAAATAGCATCCCATGGCTAATTTGAAACTTTTCCAAGTTCCCATTCTCTCTCTGCTTTACACTGTCGCCAATCTTCCTCTATGTTGTGAACACTATCGCACTTTCCGCCTCAGCACCCATATCAACGTCAACCAAGTAAGTGTTTTTCTGTGTTTGTTTTCGTATTTTGTGGAAATTTTCGGAAGGATTTCCCCATAGGATTTATGGATTCCTAATGAATTTCAACTTCAGGGGAATTTTCCTCGGAATATTTATACCCCTCACTGTGAAACTCAAGAATTTACTCGTAAAAATTGTCTGATCCTTGCAAACCTCATGAAATGGCACGGGGGATTCACCCCCTCCTTGCGATACTCATGGGTTTGCTCGGGAAATTTATCTCTCTCTCTCTCTCTCTCGTCATCTTTACGAGGTTTCTCGAGAGATTCATATTCTCCTCACGACGTTCATGAATTTTCCCGAGAGATTCATATTCTCCCAGTGGCATTCATGAGTTTGCTCGAGAGATTCATATTCTCCCCGTGGCGTTCATGAGTTTGTTTGCTTTTTGCTGAACGAGGGTTCTTCGACATGGTTTGGTCGTAGTAACCCCCTTTCACTTGTGTTGCGGTGGAAAGGTGAAATTTGATTTGGCTGTCGAATTCAGTGGTTTCCTCTGCTTTACAGGTGAAATGGTTGAACCAGTCGAGATAGCGAAGCAGGTGGAGATAAAGGAAACAAGTGGAGCCGACTGTAACGCCCGTAATTTAATTAATTATTTAATTAAATTATTTTTGGAATAATTGTTAAGGTGTGTTATAATTGAATTGGATCTATTATTTTATTAAGTGGGAAAATAATAATATTAGAGGTATAATATTACTATTTGGTGAAATAATGTTAGAAGCTAATATTATTTCATGTGGGCCTATTTTTGTGTGAGTGGAAGTAATAAGGGGGGGGGGGGGTGTAGGTTTGGAGCCCAATAAGAATAATATAATAATATTAGGTTATTTTATTATTTGTTGTTAGAATAGAAGAAAGAAGAAGTAAGAAGAAAATAAGGATTTGAGGAGAACGTGAAGCTGCTGGAAATAGAAGGAGACGACAAGAACAAAGAATTCAACCCAGAAATTGTAGAGCGACCTTCAATCCAAGGTAAGGGTGGGCTTTTGACTTTATAAT